TTGCGACGGGCCTTCCCTCTTTGGCACAAAATACAGCAGGAGATATACTTGGTAACATCCTCAGTCAAAGAAGGCCACCAAAACAAACGACCAACGGCCTGTTTAACTTTGCCTATCCCATAGTGTCTCGCGCAGTAAGTGTCGTGATACTCAGAGATAACCTTTCTGCGCAGCTCAACGTCATCAGGGACCACTATTCGGGATTCCCTTTTAAAGACAAAACCTTCCCAGGTGGTACTCAGCTGGTTTGAGTCCGCCCAGTTTGCATCTCGCTGGATTTTCTCAGACAACTCCCGACTGCCTTCAATAAGGGGCTTGAGCAAGGAAGGACTCAAGTCAAAAGTCGGACTAGAAACACTTGGGTCACCACGAGCAGAAGCAGTCTGGCCGGACACACTTCTGTTCTGGAACATTCTCCGGTTTGGTTTCGCTAAAGCAGCAGCAGCGAATACTGCACCAGAAGGCTGAGCCTTATCAGAGTCAACGCTCTGCAGCTGACTGGCAGTCACATTCCCCCCTGCTTAACGCATCAGCTACATTTCGTTCGCCTGTAAGGTATTCCCACTTAAACACCCCAAAGCGCTGAATGAATTCTGACCAACGTGCTTGTCGCCGTGACAGACTAGGTTGCGTCTGGAAGAAACTGTTCGGCACGTGGTCTGTGAACACCGTAAATTGAGCTCCTTTCAGATAGCACCGCCACACTCGCAAAGCATGAACAACAGCCAGCATCTCCTTCTCTGTAACTGTATAATTAAGCTCTGCCGAGTTTAACTTGCGAGATTCAAATGCAATAGGATACCCCTCTTGCAACAAGATCGAAACAAGACCATAGTCAGAAGCATCCGTAATAACTTCATAGGGCTTCTTCTCATCAGGAGTCCTAAGCAACGGAGCTTCAGCTAGACTATGTTTAAGCTTCTCAAAAGCATCCTGACACCGTCCAGTCCAATCCCAGCCAACATATTTTTTCGTCAAGTTCGTCAATGGCACTGCTATGGAAGAGTAGTGATCAATGAACTTGCGAAAATAGTTACACAGACCCAAGAACGACCGAACATCGTGAACGTTCTTAGGCACGGGCCAAAACTGAACAGCACTAACTTTCTTGGATCTGGACGAATGCCCTGAGCATTAACAATGTGCCCAGGTACTGAATCTCAGCCTGAGCAAACTTGGACTTTGCCTTTGTCATGTAAAACAGCTCGCGACGCAAAACATCCAGGACAAGACGCACGTGCGCTTGATGCTCCTTTTCTGACTTTGAGAATATCAAAATATCATCCAGATACATCACAACAAACCTCTTCAGATAAGGTGCAAAGATTGCGTTCATCACAGTCTGAAACGTCGCCGGAGCATTCGTCAGACCCTCAATCAGGACCTTAAATTGAAAGTGTCCAAAAGGCGTACGGAAAGCAGTCTTCGGACGATCTTCCTCAGAGATTAGAATCTGATGATAACCAGACGTCAGATCCAAAGAGGTAAAATACTGCGAGCCACTCACAGCATCCAACAGATCGTCAATACGTGGAATCGTACCTGTAGCGATTCTTAATGGTTATCGAGTTTCCAGGCCGATAATCAACACACAACCGAAGACCTCGACCATTAGGCTTAGGGACAAACAACACATGTGCATCATACGGGGATTGAGATACTTCCAGAATTCCCGCTTGCAATAACGCAGTGACCTGTTTTTCCAACTCACGATAATCCAACGGAGAAATATCGTCAATGATCGTGAGATGCCAATGCAGCTCGGCCTGGTTGAAATATCGGATGATGAGAGCGCAACGCAAGAGCCCGAATCGCGGGGAGCCGCAGGCGGGGGAAGGCAAAGCGTTGGGACCGGCGGGAGGGCCAACTGCGGATGGGGACGAGGCCCTAGGAGCTGGAGGAGCGGCCGCCGGCGCAGTCTTCGCGTACTTAGACGAGGTCTACAAGGTGCGCGGGGCTCAAACAAGGAGAGTGGGCCCGGTGCAGAACCCGAGAGCGGCCCTGGTCCCGCACGTTGTGGAAGTCGACGAGGCGGGCCGGCGCGCGCTACCCCCAGGCTGGAGGTACAGGGAAGGGGGGAATCAGGTGGTACACGCGGGCGCCCTCAGTTTTGATGGACGGCACTGGCGCGGCAAAGAAGAGTGGGAGATCCAGGACAGGGCGGACGCGCACATGGCGCTGGAGTTGCAGCGGGAGTGGCCACAATGGGTGCGCTTTGACGGGGCAGTTGCAGAGACAGCGACCCCTACCGCCGCCGGACCAGAACGAAACTCTGCT